TTAAAATAGAACTATATTTATTTCTATAAGATTGAAAACACCTTTCTATCTCTGGCTGTAAAAATATATTTGGAACAAAAAGTCAATAAATGATTATATATATTAAAATAAAGGATGTATAGAATCTTACTTTACCCCACTAACGTCATCTTGTATTAAAGGTCTCCACCAAATTTTTGCAGTCTTTAAATTATCAGATACAATAATCTAAATCAATCAATTAATCAGTCAGACACAAAGTAAGCTTGGAAGAAAAGCAGAAATTATTTGTAATTATTTACATCATCAATTTTAACAAAAGAGTTGCTCATGTACATATGTGGCACTTCTTCGTTACTTTTCCTGATTGCACTTGTTATCCTTTGTGATAAATCATTCTTTTTTTTGGTATAAATAGAAACATCTTTATGATTATTTTTATCATCATCGTTAAGACTTTTTGTTTGTTCATCAATTATTAATAAGTTTGAAGGATTTCCCAAGTTTTGACGTGAAGGAATCCTTACAAGTTTCTTTAAAGAAATTGATAATGTGATCAATAAAATTAATAAAAAAAAATATTAGATTACACAATCAGAGTTCTTTTTTTTTTTGAAACCTCATTTCCAAAACGATTTTTTTGACGAGCTTCTTTCTTAAGCTGTCGTCTATTCTTTTTTAACAACTGAAGATATTTTCCTGGTATATCGTGAGTTTTGAAAATGTCGTCTTCATTATCTTCCTCTTCTTCCTTCCCCTGCTCCTCTTCTTTATTTCTTTTTGTTGTTATTTGACAAATTCTTAATTTTGGAGTTATAGAGATGAAAGGACTTAAAGTTAAGCATGTTGAAGAATTAAACATTGACCGTATTGATTTAAAAGATAACGTAAAACCATTCGAATTCATTGATAAAATAAAAACATGAAATCAAAATAGAAGTTACACGAGTATTACGATAGATGTAAATCAGGTTACCTTGATGTATTGTAGTTGATGTATGTATGTATGAATAGTAGAGATGGTAGAGAAGAATCTAGACTTAAATTACGCGGACGGTAAGATCAATGTGGTTCGAATTACTATTACTATTAGTAATAAGTTTTCATAATACTAATTGATTAGAGAAAATCTAATTTCGTTTTTAATATATTATCCTGAGCTAAACCGTATGACAAAAAAACAACTTTTGCCTTTATGTTTCGAATAATCTAATCTGCTTGTAATACTATTTTCACCTGAATAATGTTATCGAAGAGCTTTCATGTAACGTTAATTAATTCATTATAATATAATTCAATTGATTAATTCGAATTACCACATATTCATCACACACGTATAACTGGCAAATTTAAGATGGTAACATAGATATTGTGAAACTTTCATTATTTATCACATATACAAATATACCGAAAACTTTAGCTTAAACCCCCCATGTCTACAGCTCTAGTCACCTGTAAGTGACGCAGTGGAAGGAGTAATTGCTATCCTAGATACTTCGATAGTGATCTCCTCCCCCGGGCAAAGTTGTGGGTGTTTAAAATCAACTTGCTTCTTACAAATAACTTTAAGAAAAAGTCGAGAAATTTAAAAGTTAGACTAATAATGCTACTTGCGTTAGAATGTTTACTCTGTCTTGATTCTGAAGTGAATCTAAAATGATTAAAAAAGCAAACTTTAACGTAAGTATATGCGAAACGACCTATTTATTATTTTGTAAAAAAAAAAAAGAAAACCAATCATTGATAGTATACTAATTAAGTATGATTTAAAGCTTTATTTTTTACAGTTAATTTAAAAAGTAGTAATAACAATGGTAGAATTACCAAAATCAATTTATATAAAAGGCTTCTTCTTGCCTAAATTCAAGAATTTCAACATTAATTGAAATTTTTCAATATTTAGCGATGGTGAACCAAAGAAATAATAAAGATGGATCTTCCAGGTATCCGGACAACAAAAAATTTTCCTTTTTTAATGCTTCTAGTAAATTAATTTCAAAGTTTATAACTATTATTGGATTAGAATATTTACCTTTATGAAATTTTTTATATTTCCTAAAGTAAATTATTATTTAGATTGCTATGATAAATTGCATCTTAATATTGATTGAAAATAATAAGAATTTCCTTGGACGATGTTTGTATACATTTAATAAATTTTGTAATCAATTTATTCATTCCTCTCTAAAATATATTCCCAGTAACGTGTTTCCAATTATCAATTTCATTTAATCTCAAACCATCGTCTCCTTTCAATATATGATTTTTCAATAGCTGAAATATCATCAATTTTTTAAATAACCTCGAAGTTTTGTTGAATACATTCTTTTTCATTAACGATCAAACGGACTTGTAAGCCATCAATTAATATTAATTAATTTAAATATTCATCAAAACAAATTATTTACATTAAAATACTTCAATCACATTTTTGGAGAAACTAACATTCCGGATCTAATTTCAATCTGATTCATTCAACAAGTTAGTTAAATCACTTACAATTTTAAATCATTTTGACTAGGATTTATAAGGTCGTTAAGCAAGAGCGCAATATTTCCTAAAGGCGAAAACCATTAAGCATTTTTTTATAATCACCTTTCTACTGATTAAACCGTTTTACTTGATAGAATCGTTTTTGGAACGATAAAGTCATTCACCAATTAATCAACATGTATAAAAGACTCTGAATTTTCAATTCTGGATATTAATAACTTGAAATCAAATCCACAAAAGTTCGGAACGCTCGTTTCTGTTAGTTGCGCAATAATATAAATAATTTAAATAAATTTACATCATTTTGTATCTTAGTTTCTTCATTTTTACAAAACTCGAAAAATATTAATTCCTTCTAAACCAGTTTTCTGGTTAAAGCGGTCTTTAATAATATTTTTTAATGCTTTTTGAAATTGTCCATTTCATTCTTGAAAATTCTTTATTGTTCGAAATACTGCTACGACAGGGAAGTCAATTGCTTAAAAATGCATCTATACGAGACGGCTCCGTCTTTATAAAGACCGATTTTTGTCCGCGTTCAGCTTCAGTAAACGAAGGTTTGAAAATTTGAAAATTTTTAAAATCCTTTTTTTTAAAAAGATGCACGCAATAAAAATATATTTAAAAACTGGACTTTCCAAAACAGATTACTATGTAGACTTTTGAAGCAATCGATAAAAACGTCATGTCAAAATTTGTTTTTTTCATTAACAAAAACAAGTGTTCCAGAACTTTTGTGTAATTCCATTTTTCGATGAATTCTTTATTGCCATCGATTGCTTTGCTCTCCAACAACAACAACAATAATAAGATCGATCCAGGAGGAGCTATTTGGCATTTTCCGGCCCTTAGGAATTTGTGCTTGGAGAGAAGGTGAAACTTGGAATGCATTCTGAAAATTTGTATGAACAATGAATCAAATATTATAAAGTTCATCCATATCTTTAAAACGGAATAAACAACGTGAATCTTTATTCCTTCTAGCAGTTGCAAATGTTGTTATATATGTTGAACGATCCATTGATTGTTTGGCAGACGGGATCATATTCTTCAATATCAATTTTTCGTATTTTTTTAATTTCACTATTACTTCCAGGAACGTCTGAAAAGATTGTCTCAAACTATTTTGAAAAAAAAAGTAGCATTGATAATTTTTTTATAAGAATGATGAACATGAAAAACCATCCTATTTTAATTTAAATAATTTTGCTATTAATAAAAACTAATGAACAAATATTTTTCTTAGATTTTGTTATATAAAAAAAAATTTTTTTTAACATGCATCTTATTCATATCATTTTCTTGAATAGTTTCTGAATTTTGACCAATTCCATCATTGATTTTTTTGATCTTTTTATATATTTTGAAGATAAACTAAAAAAGTTTTTTTATTAAATGTAAATTATTATTTCTTTTGTTAAGACATTTTTATGGAAATGGTTTTGTTGTCAGAGTGTAATTAATTAATAATGATGGTCGAAATTTAACAATGATCCTAGCGCTCAAATTCCTCATGAGCATGGTAAAGTACATGTTTAAAAAAGAATAGAGCCCTACAACAATAATTTTTTTGAGAAAATATCTCTATTACATTAAAATTAAAGACGTATTCTATCAACCAATAGAGCTATTTTTTTAAAAGGTGGGACAGGAAATGACTTCTATACTTTTAAAATTTAGGAGACCTTTAGAACGAGCCAACTATATGTTTTACAACCACTAGTTGCGGAACAAATTTATTAATAATAAATCCGTTATGACAAACAATTTTAATTAATGTTAATAAAAAAAGGGAATATTTAAATCCGTTGTAACAAGAAATCCACTGTGACGAGGTTTGACTGTATCAGCAGTCCAACTCAGGACCAGAAATACATAATCAATTCTCATACGGTAAGCATTCCGTTTTTCTTTGAACACATTACATAACTCGCAAACATTCATTATATTCTGGTTTGGTGGAGATGAAGCTACCAAATGGACAACCTTCCAAGGATCTCACAATTATGATGTGATGTCCATCATTTTTTGTCAAGTGACACCATTCGTTGACCTTGTCACAACTTGCAATTAATTGTCATCGATTCATCACCCAAATCAATATATGTCTTGGTATAAAAGTCCTTTTAGTAATGATAAACGTATTATAAAATCGTTTAATCAATTTTTCTCTATGTATCAACCAATCACAAAGAAAAGCTGCTATGTTGTACTTTAAACCTTTTAAGAAAAGAGAAAATACCCTCTATGTTCGTTAATTCATTGTCCGTACATTGAAGATATCAATCACGTGATTGACTTTCTCGATGATCTTTCAGTTTCTTAAAGTACAACATTCTTATTGAATAAGAAATCAATGTGAATTTGCTACCGTTTCTCCTCCGTGGGCTTATAGTAATAATAATAATAAAGATAAAAGTTAGTACCCGGGTAGCCAAATTAGTAATTCTGTATGCAAAATTACGTATCATACATATGCTGCCGCAAATCAATTTTGCTAAAAAAAAATCATTAGGAAATCATCAAAAATGAGTAAATCAATAAAATCTCTGAAAAGAGCTTTGCGTACAGAGACACGTGAACTCTTAAGTAAAATATCCTTGGATGTCATCGAGCAAGAAAGTAATTTTAAATATTAAAAATTTTTCAATTTACACATTTGCCTGAATTAGCATGAATGTAATATTTATTCTTGATTAAATTTTAGGTTTAATTGTAACTCGACGATTACTTTCTATTAAAGAATATCAAAATAGTAAAAAAGTTAGCATATATCTTAGTACACCAAATTCTGAAATCTCAACAAAAGCAATTATCAAAGATATTTTTGACAAAGGTTTTTTTTACTGTTTTTATAAAAAAATTTTTTTTTTAATAGAATTTACTAAATTCTCAATAAAATTAGAAAAGATATGTTATGTGCCAAGATGTAATGGTGATTACATGGAAATGGTTAGACTTAAATCTTATCAAGATTATTTGTCATTGCCATTAAACCGATGGAATATACCAGAACCAAGTCTTGATGAAAAACTTGAAGTTGGTAAATAAAAAGTTTACATCAATAGATTATAAATCATGTATATTTCTGATAATAATATGATTGGTTAATTTATATTAGCGACTGAGTTAGATTTGATTATTATGCCAGGCTTGGCATTTGACATTGAAAGAAATAGGCTAGGCCATGGAAAAGGGTAAAGAATTAGTTGGATTAAAAATCATTTTTTGAATTATTATTAATTTTTTATTGTATAAACAGATACTATGATAAATTTTTAGCTAATTGTCAAAAACTATCAATAGAAAATAAAAAAAATCTACCAATAACCAGTAAGTAATAATTTGTTTTAAATTCAATCTAATATCAATCAACATATACATAGTACAATTAATTATCTTTTTTAAAAAGTTGCAATTGCGCTTGAAAGTCAAATACTCAAAAAACTACCAACTACAAACTATGATATAAAGCCTGACATAGTTTTAACTCACAATCAAATTTTTACGAAGGATTGATTTTATTTCTTTAGAAAGGTAAAATTGACATTTTATTTTTTCAAATTAATCATAATAGTCAAATAAAAAAATACAATATGATTTTTCATAATTCCTTTATTAATTTAGGAGGAAACAATACCTGATTGAAAAATATTTTTAAAAAATAAAAAACTTACTATACATAATATAATGTATGATGCAAAAAAACTTTTAAATAATAATTATAATCAAGGAGATTTTGATAAGTAGTAATCTTTGAACTTTGTCATTAATTGGCTGTTGTATCTTAATGTATATTTGTTCATCTATTCTTTTGATGTCAAAATTTTATGTGCATCTTCATTACAAACATGTAATCTTGCTTGAAACATGAATATGCTGTACTATTGATGAATATAAGTTCTTAACTTTTTGTTTATTAATTAAACTAAAAACAAATAATTTAATCATTTGAAAGCGCGTGACATTCATTAGCTAAATATTTTTATAAACCAAAAGGCTTCTTTCCCTGAAATTGACAACTATATGTAATCTAAAGCTATCTTTGATAAATTTGGAAACAAACCTAGATTTAAATCATCCTCAAAACTTCTAGGGGTGAATGAATGCCCATTCATGTGATTTGGATTTGTGAGTTCAAGAATATTTATATAATAAGTGTATACCATTAGTGCTGATCCATTTATTTTAACATAGTATATACAATAACTAAAACAATAATTTAGGCAATGGCAAATTTTCCCTTAAAGTTGTTTTTGATATTTAAAAAAGTCATTATTAGGAATGATTGTGCAAAGATCAAAATTTAGATATCCATTACTTCCTGTTGTTGTTGATGCTATCAACATTATTATTATTAAATTGTTATTAACTTTTGATGATTCTTTAAAAATAATTTTGATAATTTATATCATTTGTTTAAATTAAAATATAAAAACTTTATTGGCTAAAAAATTGTGTGGTGTTTGCAGGGCTTTCATACTTTCATTCGTACCAGTGTGCCTCCATTTATAGCGTTTTGAGCAAGGTTGTGATTCCACACATAGCAACTTGAGTAGCTCGTAATTAATCATGATGCAACCAATGTGAGCCTGAAGCTGATATAGCAGAAAAAAGTAATGATGACAAACCTCATCAGATTCAAGATTCGAGATATAGACAAGTGCTCCCAATTCCATCCCAGAATTATTCAAACCTTGTATATCTTTTAAATTGATCAGAATGTACACATACAGACCGCAGGCCATGAGGTGGCAACTGCAAGAAAGATCTGACTTGCATTCCGCGGCATTTCAGAGAGTCAACCGCCGATGCCCTTTAGTCATACAACCATTCAGATATCAGTATAGCATACAAAAGATGAAACACGGCAGAAGACTGCAGTTAGCTCATCCGGTATAGGAAGGAAATGGATCCTTGTTAACATTTGAACGAGTACATTTTATTTTTTTGTTTTCCAAAATTTTATCAGACACTTTAATTGCTGATCCGTGAATGAATCGAGAGCACACCCCCAAGTCTATAGCAAAGTCTTAAATATCACGTACAACCCCCCTTTATTCATAGTACAAAAGAGTAAGCCAACTTTATTTTAGTAAATCTGTAACGTCAACAACCCCACAAATGTAGATCTGATCAGACGGATCGTGCGTGTGTGATAATAATAAATAGCCGTGTGACCTTTGCCCAGAAAAATGCAATGCAATGCATACATGAAGAAAAAATGTAGATATTGCCAATAAAAGGAATTATCAAAGAGATCTTCAATTCTTCTATTTTATTCACATTAATATTAATTAAAAATTTTTTTTTATAAAAAAAGAAAAGTACCTAACGAATTTTGAAATTTTTTTTGAATTAATATTACATTAATAGATAGATAGAAATTTATTTATTTATTTTTTATTATCATTATATGGTATTATAATATATATATATATATATATATATAATATATCATTATTTATTACTCTAATAAAGCACTATCATAATAATTGTTATATAGAAAAAGTATAAGAATGACTTGTATAACAATATGTGAGTTATTTACAGTTTTACGTGAATTTTTTATGTGTTCAATATTTGGATCTAATAATAATAGTGTAAATCCTGACAAATTAGAAAAGGAACATTATAAAGAGAAACCATCATCATCAATTAATAATGATAAAAAAGATTTTTCAACCAAATCATCATCATCATCATCATTAGTAGCAGCAGCAGGAATAGTAGTAGCAGCAGTCAAAAATTCAAAAACACTAATTAAACCAACATCAACATCATCAATATCATTGTCAACAACAACAACAACAACAACAAAAACCATTAATAATATTCCAAACATACCATCATCATCGATTATACCAAATCCGATAATAAAAAAAACAATCATAACTCAATTACCAGCTGAAATCATAATAGATATTTGTAAAAAAGTTACACCAATTGATTTATACAATTTATCCACCGTATGTAAATTTTTTCGTGATTTATTATGGTCAAAATCATTGACAACACAAATGATTTGGAAAGAATCAAGACGGCAATCCTTGAAATATCCTGAGTTGGATCCACCATTTGGTTTAACGGAACAAAAATATATTTGGTTAACTTTGTTGGCAAAAAAATGTCAATATTGTGATGGATTATACGAAAGATTTTATTACGAAATTTGGCCGTCAATGATTATTTGTTGCGGAAGTTGTTTTAGTGAAAAAACTATACAATTATCGTAAGTATTATTTATGTAAAAATATTTTAATTTGTATATTTTATTTACATGATACTAATACTAATCCAATAAATTGCATTTAAATATTATTTTATATAATAATAAAGGCTACGTAATCCACCATCATCAATTCCAAAAATAGTGTTTTCACTCATTCCCTCAACGAAATGTTATAATCCATCAGTTTTCTATCAAAAATTTTATTGGAAATCTGATATAAAGAATATAATGGAGAAACTGAATAGTTTTGATAACAACAATAATGATGATAATGAAGAAATGAAAAATTCATGGATAGCAGAAAAAGAAATCGAAGTTAGAAATATCTTACAAAGCATGAAACCTTACCAAAAGCAAGAATTTCAACAATTAAGAATAGATTTGATAGAATAAAACTAATGTTTTAAAAAAAATGAAAAATGTTTATTTATTTATAATGTATGAATATATATATATGTGTGTGCAATATATATGAAAACTTATTTAATAAAGTCTGTAAATTAGAAAAAAATTTTTCTCTTTACATTTTATGAATGTTCATGTATGTGGATTTGAATTTGGATGTGGGATGTGGATTTGGATATGAATTGGATTTAGGTTTGGATGTGAATATGGATATGGATATGGACATGGATATGGAAATGAATATTGAAATGGAAATGAATATGGATATATATAAATATATATACATATGAGAGAGTATGATAAAAAAAAAACAAAGCATATACATATAAGAATTATTTAAAAAAAATATATTTTATACAAAACTCATCACATTCTTCCATAAAGGATCCCTCCTTTCTAAAAAATTAAAGAAAATAACATTCCTTTATTAATTAATTATACAATAGAAAAATCATATAAAAGGAATTAAAATAGAACCTACCAGAAAGAATAGGCCAAGTGTCAATATAATCTTGATTGATAAAAGGTATCACATTTGATAATTTTCTACGCAAGTTTTTATCATATTCTAAAAATGTGTCATTAGCAATTCTCAATTCCTTTAAAACTCTACCATTTTCACGTGAATAATCAGCAACAACTTCTAACAAAGTGTCATTGAAAATTTCAACATCAAGACTTAAAATTTGTAAATTTCTACAATTAGAGTTTTCCAATAGTATAGTTAAAGATTCTGGTGCAATATTATATCTGCATTCAATCTGTAAATGATTTAAAGTTTCTGGTAATAGTTTTCCCAATTGATATGAGTTGGTGAGTGAGAATAATTCAGAGTTGTTGCTAACATCACTTAATGCTAAATGAACTAATTTTGATTGCTTTAACCATTTTTGTAATTCATTAATTTGTAAAGTTCTTATTGACAATGAATCTAAATTTGGAATTTGTTGTTGTTTGATAAATTTTGATAACTCTGGTGTAATGAAGTCAATCACCAATTCCTTTAAATTTTGTCTTGCCATCATTACAATTGAAGTTGCTGTAACTTCTGACAAAGGACTAAAATCAGTTGTATGATTTATTGTTAATTTTGTAATTGATGATAATAGATTGTTTTTATTTATTAAAGGAGAGAAAGAAGAAGAAGTAGGTGATGGTGGTGGTGACAGTGGCAGTGATGGTTCTGGGAACATGATATTATTTATATCTTTTTCTTGATAACAATTTACTAAAGTTAATGATTTTAAATTATAACATTTTGCTAAATTTTCCAATGAATTCCAATCAATAAACATTTTTCTAAGATCTAATTCTGTTATACTATCTGTTTGACTTGCTAAAGCTGAGAATATTGAAGCAGAACTTATCGGATCAAATATTCCCGAGTAAGGTAAAGTGGTATAAATAACTTTTAAATTATTTTGTGATTCAATCAACGTCTGTAGTTTACTTGAAAGTATGTTGATTTCGTATTGTTGCTGTGGAAGTGATGGTGGAGTAATCACCAATGTGCGGATATTTTGTGAATTCTTGATTACAGCATCTATCAGTTCAATCATATAACCTTCATTATCATTTGATGAACAATCTATTTGAAGTTCAGTGAGTTGAGAAATTGATTGCTGAATTCCTTCGAAACTTGAAAAGTTTGGTATATTGTAACAAGTTTGTAATTGACAATTCAAACTTTTCAATCCATAATTGTTATTGAATAACATCTCAAGCATAGTTGATTCCAATACAGGAATTTTAGTTTTACGACGTAGTCTATAATCTGCTGTCTCATTCCACCATTGACAAATCGAATATTGTACATTGCCAATGTCAAGTTCTTTCAGAAATGATGGATAATCGAATAATGCTTCTCCATAATAATTGATCA